CTCTCTGTCTCTCTCTGTCTCTCTCTGTCTCTGTCTCTCTGTCTCTCTCTCTTTCTCTCTCTCTCTCTCTCTCTCTCTCTCTCTCTCTCTCTTTTGATCTTCCTTACCCCGAACACCCTTCCGCACTTGTTTCTACCCATCCCATTTTCCACCGGTTAAATTGGTTTTCGATTCTGAAATTGCAGCAGTGAGATGGATAAAGACGCAATACGTGCAGGTTTATCTTTTGGTTGTTTAAGTGTTCTAGAACAAGGATAAGCATTTATAACTATTGTCTCGTTCTTGCACAAACCCCGCACACTTTCATACAAGTACTCTGAAGATGTTAGTTTTTTTTGCGGAGAAGATCAACAATACAAGCAGAACTTATTAGTTTAAACAAAATACCTTCACGACGAGCGAGTTTTCCTGACAAACAACCCATGTATATACGTTTTCGGCTGTGAAGAGAATTATTGTGGGGGGGTTTTCTCACCAGATCAGGTCTCTTATTGGGGCCTATGGCGCTATTCTGACTTGTTTTTCCACAGAAATACATGCATGTGCTACAATAGAGGCAGTGAATCCAACTACATGTACGCTAATGTTAAAAATTCTTTTAGAGGGTGACGTGAAAGGAACGCGCAGAATTAGTTGTTTTTGTTTTTGTTTTGTTTTTTTAACTTGAAGAAAAGAGAAAGAGGGAGATGTGGGGGGGGGGTGTTGGGTCTTGGAGAAAAGAACCCAGCGCGGTTGCCTTGCAATTCATTCAAGAGGAAGTGAAGCACATCTCCTCCCCCCAACTCCACACACACTTTTGACTCAACCGCCCAGAGTACATAAACACAAAATTGTGTTTGCTTGCTGTGGCCTTCCCTGTCAGCCGCAGACATAATATTGTCATGTCTGTACCATAGGCTTGTGCCATTTATTATGAATAGAGTTGTGGTATGTGGTGTGCCCAAAAGAAGTGAGATTTCCCAGCACGACCCTGAAAAACAATTTAGCCACAGGCTTTATCTGCAATGGGCCACTGAAAAGAGTGACATTCGTCTGCAAAGGGCACATTGTGGGAGACGAACGCAAATCAAACTGAAGAACATTTGAAATGTCTAAATTAGTTTCGCATGAAGAATGTTCTTATAATTATCATAAAGGTATTTTTCTATTTCATTGCTCTTGCAGCTAATGTTGCTCTCAATGTATCATTATTGTTGTTGCTGTTATAATTATAGTCGGGGTCACTATATTCGTTGTTTTTTAAATGATCTAAATATAATCAACATTATAAAATACTAAGATGTTCAGAGAAACCCAGTGATATTATCAAAGACACAGAATGCATTAATGTACAATAAACTATTTATCATTAAAACAGTTTTCTTGCTAAGTTGCCTTTTTGTGTTGTTACTTTATTCTTTTTCTTCTCTTTCTTTTCACCCCAACACCATTTCCCTGTGTATTTCATTTTCTCCATTTCTTCACATAAAAAAAAAAGAACTGGTCTTTTTTTTTCTTTCTTGATATTCCCCTATTTCTCCTCTCGTATGTCGCCCGTCTTAAAACCACTGTGTAAATAACTAGTCCTACTTTTGTCAGGATGTTATGAACTAGCTTTGAGACTTTCCACAGACGTGGCCAGAGGTCACTTGATCTGCGTTTTTTCTCGACACTAGAATAACTCCATAAAACTCAGCCTTGGCTGGATACTAAACGTTCAGTAATACGTCATGTAGAAGTATTTTTGTAAGCCAGTTCATCGAAATAGCTCAAAGTACGATCGATTAATTACAAAATGTCAAGCAAAGAGGGAATGCACAGACTATCTCAAGGGTAATGACTTATTGTGCGTCTACGTTTGTAACGAAGTTTGTCGATGCAGTAGGGCTGAAAATTTGGCAATTGGCATTCTTCTTTACTTGAATAGCGGGGTGCATTCCAAAGAAGTAGAGTAATTAAAGTATAGGAGAAAGCTGAAATCAGCCACAAGATTCAATGTTTGTCTTTGAATTTTAGTTGTTCTATTTGTCCACCGATGCCATTTTAATGAGAAACAGCGGTGGTCAAATATTTGTGTCATTATTAAAACAGTTGCACATGGACAAGACGCCAAAAAGTCCGTAAAAACTCTTGAAAGAAAGACAGTCATCCTCAACATTTGATGTGTAACTATTACCGTTGAAACTCCTGCGGTCTTCAATTGAATTACCATGAGAACTAGCATTTAATAAAAGTGCAATACATGCACTACGTAGCGAGTTAGGTATTAGACTAGAATGCGCTCTGTCTTTGTAATTTATGCATGCAAAACACGAGCGTAAAGGTCTATCACAACAACACCACCATCTCCCACAACAACAGCAACAACAATAACTACTACTATTGTTATTGTTACTACCTACTACTACTACTACTACTACTACTACTACTACTACTACTACTACTACTACTGCTACTACCAGTGGCGGTTTGGTTTACCAAAATTTGGGTGGGGCTTAGGTTGCTTCCAGTTCTTTACCACCAAATAGCAAGTAATAAGAACTAAACAGTGATGATTTTTTTATACTCACGGTGAGCCACGGCATTTCGAGAACCACTCAAACGAGAATAGTTACCTTTGTTTTTCATCTCTTTGTTCTTCGTTAAATTTTTGTTGATGGTGGGGACGAAGCTGGTCACCTTCAAATTTACTCTAATTAATGTTCATGTGATGAAAAAGTTGCGTAAAAAGTTGTTCGACTTGATTTATAACAGTTAAATCTTAGCGGCACAAACACAAACATGCACACAGCACTTCAAACATAATATTTCTTCTATGCGCTGGATTAGGCCGTGTGGTCAAGAAAGTTTAACGCACCCAACAAAGAACCAATGAGCGCATAGGTATCTGTGTCAGTTGGGGAAAGTATGTTGTAAACTTTCACCCATTGTCAGGGCTAGGAGAGCGTGAGCCCTCGGCACACTGTTCTTTTTTTTTTTTTTTAGGTCTTATACCTTTTTTATAAAAGAGTTTCATTAACAACGTCCTTGGGAAATGGCTCATCCTTGCTGAGCCCTAAAGACATCTGATTGGCTGCTGGGTTACCAAAGTTGTAAGTGATTGGATAAAAGAGCAAGCTGCCAAGTTGATCACTCTGAGTTCATTGCGCGCGGTCATAACGGTTTCAACTGCTTATCTACTATTCAATTGATAATTCAGCTAAAAAGTTCCTTAGGCTTTTTTCTGCTATGATTATCTTTCTTTGTGTCTTTCATTGCTTTTATTGACGACGAAGATGCTTTGTCTGCTGCTCATACAACTGCTGCTGATTATGATTGTGATAGTAAGAAGAACGATGGAAAGTTTCGCCTAGTAGCGCAAAGCATTGCAAAGTTAAAAACCTAGCTAGAACGTGATGCATTCAAGTACATAAAATGCAGATTGCTGATTGTAATTTGTGTATAATTGTCCTATATGTTTTTAAGAACACGATTCCAAACAAGACATTACAAAATTGCGAAAATACAATGCTAGTGTCCAAAACAGATTTTCTGCGATTATCACTAGAAACTTCTCCCACCACTCTTTATGGAGAACCTCTTGCAAAAATAAGTAAAATTCAAGTACCTTGGCAGCATTATCTGAAAAATTACACTCTGCCTTTATGATGTCCGCCAAAGACTTAAAATACATGGTAAAAACGAAAAAATGTGGATGATGACGCAAAACGTTTACAAGAGAAAGGGAATAATGCATGCATGTTAAAGCACTGAGGGGTGTGGTTATTGGGGCGAGGGGGTGAATAACAGGATGTGGTTGTCGTTCAACTGCTGAAAAGACATAGATTTCCTGCAATTTTTGCTCTATTTTCTTGTTTTTAAAATGTTGTTTGTTCGTTTTTTTTTTGTTGATGGGTGAGTTTTAGTTTGTTTCTATTTAACATCATCTCATTTGTACGCAGTGAGCACTGGTTTTTTTTCGTGCCCCATACATGGCGTAATTCATGTCTTCCAAAACTTGAAATCTGTGGCCCACGAACTAGGTGCCTTTCTTCGATAAACAAGCTACACATCTTTGGTAGACGAGCTTTTGGAAAGAAGAGCGTCTTCCCCCAAAATTAAAATATAGGCCTACAATAGAGACGTGTCGATCAGTACACTTTTCAACTCCCCCCCCCCCCCATCTCTCTCTCTCTCTCTCTCTCTCTCTCTCTCTCTCTCTCTCTCTCTCTCTCTCTCTCTCTCTCACTCTCTCTCCTCGTCTGTACCCCTCTCTCTTGCTCTGTTCTTCTTCTTCTTCTTCTTCTTCTTCTTCTTCTTCTTCTAAAAGCACACATATACTAGTTAGTTCCGGCTTCAGAAAGCTTTCAATTTTGCCAAAGACCTGACCACGAGCATAGTTCAATGTTGTACTAACTTCAGTTTTCTGTGTTTGAAGCCTATCGCTTTGAAAGCTCTGGATTCCAGTCGTTGACACAGGAGTAAGCACTAAAAAAATACGAACTGAAACTTTACGGAACTAGGGCAAAAACAGTAGTAATTTTGGGCCCATTGTGACAGAAACTCCCGAAAGTCGAGCGTCGGAGTTCTTGCAAGATAGCACTCTGGCTCGCTAACAACAACAGCAAGATAGCACTCAGCCCGTTCTGTATCTCTTCGTGCCTGCCAGACCTCGCTGTATAAGTGACAGATAAAGTTAAGTAAGTAAGTAAGTAACTGATAGTATATGCAGTCCGTCTGTCTGGCTGTCTGTTTGTCTGTCTGTTAGTCTGTCAGTCTCTGCCTCTCTTTATCTTTATCTCTTTCTCTCTCTCTCTCCCCCCCCCCCCCAACCCACACTCCCTCTCTTTCATGCCTTCTTCTATATATTTCCCACTGGCACTCTCTCGCCAGGTGTCTTGTTCCGAAGCCAATTTTGTTTCGTGGTTTTTATGAGTGTAGATCTATGCACCAAAAAAAAAATTGCAATTAACGAACATATAGGTCTTGATACACAGCCTTGTAAAAGAAAAAAACAACTGACAGAGCCTGTATTTTTCGTTTTCTTGTTTTATTTTGTTTTCGTTTTAATTTACTTTAACGCATTGCCTTAATATTATGTTCAAAATTATTTATTTTCTCGTTTTGGAGAGGGGAGGTGGGGTAGTGTCAGGGAGGTGGTCTGACAAGGAGAGCGCACCCACTCTAACCAAAGATTTTATTTTCTGCATGGATTTTTAAAAATACTATTAAAGTTTTGATTGAACGTGCTGCTACAGTATGGAGTAGTTATGATTGCACCCCTTCTCTACCCCGCCTCTCAACACCTTTTCCACGCTTCGTTTCATATTATGTAAAGAAATCGTCCGCTTGGTGTCCCCCTCTGCGTAACGTAAATCCCCTTGGACGTCATAGACGTGTTGAATAGGGCAACAAAAAGTACCAAAGAATATGTCACTTGTATATGTATATAATTTTTGGCCATAACCATCTGTTTTTACAGGCTCCTATATTGGTATAGTATAATGTTGCAACCGTTCCGTGAGCTCCTTCAATATCGCAGTAGGGTACTGAGCGAAAAACTTTGGTTCAAATCTACCAAGAGGTGTTCTTTTCTGTTTAAATGTATGTGTTTTACGTCCTCGTCGGCCCAATTTATACAATTTAAGTGGCAGGCTTCTCCCTCCCACCCCACCCCCTTTCGCCATCCCCTAAATCAGGTTGAGTAGGATGTAACGTAAAAATATAAAGACAGATAACTGGGTGATTGATACTGTCATACATTTTTGGGAAAAAAATAAACCACCATACTGTAGATGATTTAACAGAATAGCTGCCCTCGTGCATCTAGACAGCTACGTCATTGACTGACGCCGCTAATACTCAAGTTAGAATCCAAATCATAATTTTTGGTGAAAGATATGTAGTGATTTATTATCTGTCGATTCCTTTTAAGTTCCTCCAGGCGACTTTAAAGTTTCATTCCATCCATATAAAAAAGAATTGGTCTAAGTAAATAAAAATGATAGCATGGTCATAATCAGCGCAAATCATCAGCAAATCGACAGGAAGTGCTGGAAATAGAACAAGCTGGCAGAGATGTGTCTGGGAAAAAGATTAACAAGCATCTGCCGTGTGTAGTGTTTTACAGCTGGCAGTCAACTCGCTTGTAGTAAAGTGGGGCACATTTACATAATTTAATAAAGACCCTACAACTCAGACAGTTGGCGGATAGTTGACTGCGGTGCAAAGTCTTTAAAAGCTATTATTACGTAGGTGTTCCTTCTGGTACATTGGGAAAACCTGACGGTGGGCGAGGCTGTTGGTATTACGGAGGGAGGAGGTTTGGGGGGGGGAGTATTACAAGGTTTGACTCTACTACTACTACTGCTACTGCTACTGCTACTACTACTACTACTTCTACTACTACTACTACTACTACTACTACTACTACTACTACTACTACTACTACTGCTACTGCTACTACTACTACTACTACTACTACTAC